GAGAGGGGCTGACAGGAGGGAGCGCTGAACGCTGAGCGCTTCCCTCCTGTCAGCCCCTCTCCTCAGGTTGCGCCCGGGCGGTGCGGTCCGCCCTCATGGACGCACCGCCCGGGCAAAGCTGCAGCCGCCTGAGGCTCTATACAGAGCGCTCGAGCGGCTGCAGCATGGGGGGGGGGGCGGCGGGGCTGGCCATGGCACCCCCCACCCTGGTGGCACCCGGGGCGGACCGCCCCCCCGCCCCCCCCTTAGTACGCCACTGGGTGGGCCTGAAAATAAGGGAGTGGTGACAGTTTAGAAATCATGTCCTGATTTTTCAGCTTTTGCCAGCTCCCACTCTAGCTTTGCCATTCATTCCTATGGGACAAATTGCGCCACAAGAATGACGATATTCCATGAACCATTCGGCGAAACGTTCCACAAACTAATAGCAATCCGATCGGGAACAATCTGCACGTTTTGGTAAATTTTTGTCTATGTAGTGAGTTAGTGTGGCAAATTTGGCTATAATAAGAATAAGAATATATATGTGAGATAACAATAAGTGGTCTTGCTATGCAAGAACACTTAATAATAAAGATTTTGAACGGTTCCAGAAAGCATCTCTTTATATATTAATGAGGAATGGCATCAACATGTGTAATGGGCAGGGAGTCATCCTTATATCATTTATTAGCATTTTTGGCAGTGCAATTACCAATGCATGCCAGCTCTACTTACTATTTAGCCCCCTCATTGCAGACCTTACTCACCCTCTTGTGGTTCTGTATTGCCCAATAGTTCCCTGGTTATGAACTTTGGCATGTCTCTTATGGTTCTTAAAATCTGGCATCCTTTCACCTCGGCATTGTCTATTTAAAGATACTGTAAACTTAGAATTGATGATGGGTTGTGACATCGAATTTCTATCACATGACATGAGGGAGCCTTGATAGAGATACACTGGTGGTCCAGTGTATAATTTTCAGAGCCAGTTTAACAATTAGGCAACCAAGGTAGCCATCTAGGGCCTCAAGATCATCTGTGAGCTGGCCCTCCTCAAATCAGCAGAGAGAACAAAACACAGGCCTGCACACCCTCACTTTGTTGAGGGAGTGTTTATGTTTGTATCAATATCAGGTACAAGTTACTTTAAGAGCACCATCGCATCCGTCCATTCCCCCTGATTGATATTGGTACAAAGAATGGAGCTCAAAAAAATATTTTTTTTAAAGGGAGGGAACAAAAGAGCAAACACACCCAAAACCCCCAGGCGAAGGGACACGACACAGATCAAGGTGAAGGAAGCCAGGGCACCATCTAGACGCCGAGGAGGGCCGGGGAAGGGCCACACAAGTACACCAGGGACATACGAAGCCCACATGTAGGGGGACCTGGAAAAACATACATATAGACAGCTGTCACACACAACGCATAGTAGGACCAATACAATAGGGAGCCATATAGGCACAATATACGATGTTCATAGATACACGCATGATGGTCGGCACACACTAGAAACCCAAATACACCAGCTCAAGCTGGCCTCCAGGCTGACCCGGAGCAACGCACCAGATAACAATCCAGGTTCTAGAGATTGAACAGGGCAAGTAACTGACGACAACGCAGATATTGTATGCAACATTTGTGACATGGGGGCCCTCCCCCCAACATCTCAAATCCCCACCGCCGCCCCATACCATGTGGTGACAGGTGACAAGCCCTGGGCTAGGGAATCACAGCTACACCCAAACCAAAAGGAGGATCCCCGCAGGCCTGATACGACTCACAAGGCACCCCATGCCAAAGCGTCCCCACCACATGTGACAGCTAGGCCCAGTTCAAGCCGGCATCAAACAAACCAATCCACGCACATGAGCAGATAACAGACAAAAGAGGCAGCCCAGACACGGACCGCCACACCACGCACTCAGATATCCATACTACAAAATAAGGCACAGAGCGGGCGCTCCGAGTACATAGCCACTTAGGAGATAACAGACCAAGGACTGCGTATAGTACCGACAAATACATGTAGACCCACTAGACACCCCGAAGCGGACCGAGCCACCGCATACAGGAAGTCCGACTCCCCCACAGGCATAGGACATAGGAATCCCCACCTGTCAGGGCACACACAACTCCCAGAATAGACCCAGCCCCCGTACAGGCCGGGCAGCACGGTCAAACAACCGGGACGATTGTCCATTACCCTTCAGAACTACAGAGGCCATATAGGCGACGTAAATAGACGCAGAACAAGTACCAACTCTGACCATACACATGGCGGTACAACACCACACACTCACATACTCCCTAACCGTACCCCACAACAGACTCGTCCATCCCTGTGGCCGTCCAGAGGATGCCAGACTCAGGACCTGACGGATTTGCCATGGAAGACCTAACCATACTCTCATATAATGTACACGGTTTAAATGTCAGAGAGAAGCGCACAAGACTTTTGCGGGACCTGAAACACTACAGGGCATCAATAGCGTTTCTCCAAGAAACACACTTTCAAGAAGGAAGAGCTCCGGCACTGAAGGACCGCAGTTTTAGAATGGGATACTTTAGCAACAACCCGGACAGACGCACGCTGGGAGTAGGTATCCTATTCTGCAGCAGAACCCCATACACAGAACAAGCCACCGTCAGATGCAAACAGGGCAGGTATATCTTCACCAAAGGCATGATCCTCGAACAAACCTACACGTTCGCCAATGTCTACGCCACGAACGAAACAGTTCCACTTTATTCGGAACGCATTAAATACCCTGATGAAGTTCGCAGAAGGCACTCAGATCGTGGGGGAGATCTGAACCTCGCTCTGCATCCAGATCAAGATTCTACATCTGTGCTCGGAACAAACCCGCATAATAGACATGCGAACACACTCTGCCTACTACACCAACACCAAACTGGCAGACTGCTGGCGAGCGCTAAATCCAACGACACGGGACTATACCTTCTACTCGCAGACCTACTCAACTTATACGAGGCTAGACTATTTCTGTCAGGTTCTTACCTGATGGGGAGTCCGGCTCGCAGAGTTATACGCTCACCCTTGCAAAGTAGACACAGACCAGGGTGACCAGGTAAGACGCCACCTGATCTGTGAGTCTGTGCACGGGGGCTTTCCAGGAATAGTGCTCCAAGTAGCAGTACAGCAGGGATTAGCAGAAGCGTAGTCAAGGAAAGCCAAAGTCAGGGGAAGCCAGAGATCAGAGTAGTCCAGGAGGAAAGCCAAGGTCAGAAGCCGGAATCAGACAGGAAATACTGGAACGCAGATATGGCAAGACAGGAACCAAACAAGTGAACCAGAGTCAATGAACTGACACTGCCCTCATGGAGAGGCAGTGTCTTATACTTGGCTAATTGGTGATCAGCCACAGGTGTGCTGAGATCGTTGGAGCAGCCACAGAATAACGTCCAGCCCCCAGTGCTGGGTACAAGGCAAGATAGACTTCTGGCTATCTCTTGAGCTGATATGGTGGCTCAGAGGCAAAATAGCAGCCCCAGGACTGCAAAGTACCCTGGTTCAAGTCTGTCACCGGGCACTTCTGGGGCGACCTCGTCTGGCCATCGGGATGTCGCAGTGAGAACCGTGACAGTACCCTCCCTTCAAGAACGCCCGCCGGGCGTGAACAGGTTCTTCTTGGAAATAGTACTCCTCATCTTCGGTCTCAGTATCACTAAGATAGTCTTTGCAATCAAAGTCTCCAGAGCGGAGTACCTTTACAGCCTGGGACTTTATACCAGTTTCGGGTACTAATGGAAAGAGGTCAAGGTTATTCATGGATTTGGTGCAGGCGGTAAGTACCTTGATCCCAGGAGTCATTTTCTCTGAACTTTTTTTCTTAGGTGAGTCACCAGGAGCAGAGTTCACGGCTTTCAAAGCCTTTTCAAACGTTTCCAGATCTGTTCTGTGGACCTTGGTACCATAGGTGCAATCCGCAGGTAGTTCTCCTTTGGGCAGGCAGGAAGTGGTGATGGTACCAGTTTTAACAGGAGAGTCTTCTGGAGGTGGTGAATTCTCATGATCACCGAGTATGTGTTCTTGAGAGACACTGGCATCAGTAGCCATCGTAGTCTAGTTACTCTTCTGTGTCACGGAACGTGGAAACATCCGACAGTACCCTTGACATTTTTCTGGCTGTGTTGCCGGGATAACAGGATGAAGCTGAGTAGTACCTACTTGAAGAGGCTTAGTCCGAGTTGGGCGAATAGGGCAGTGGGAGATAAAGTGCCCTCCTTCTCCACAATAGAAACAGAGACAACAAGCCCTCCTTTGGTCTCTTTCTCTAGATGGCAGTCTTGTTCTAGTGCGGACGAAGCCGATCTCCATGGGTTCCTCCTTGTCCTCTAGAGTGCCAAGTTCCACATGGGTAACGTTATGATGACAAGGCAGGTCCTTGGAGGTAGGTTTAGACTGTAGCGAGATGGGATTCTTGTATTCATAAAATAATTCCTCTTCTCTAGGCAACCGGGCTCTGCGAGAACCTGAAGTAGGCTTGGGAGTTGCTTTCCTTGATGCAAAGCACTGAGAGTCCATTGCGGACAACTCCCAGGAGTCCAAGACAGTACTTTTCTCCTGCAGCTTCTGGTGTGCCCACGCCTTAATCCGCCCAGTACACAGGTTAATAGCGGAGCGGACTCTGATAAGGTCGGTGGCGTAGGTTCTAGGTTTCAGGGCAAACAGTAGCTCACAATCCTTCTTGAACATCGGGAAAGCAGAACGGGAACCGTCAAACCTGTCAGGCATAATGACATAGGGTTCTGGGTATGTATGTTCCGGGATTGGATGTACTGCTCCTTTAAATGCCAATGAACATCTCTGCAAATCCATAACATTCTGGGACAGGTTGGAGACTTGTTCAGCCAGGGAGGTGAGTAATTTGTATAACTCTGCAGACTCCATATGGTCAGTTCATTATGTCATTTAGGCCTGGGTACCGTAATGTCAGGCAGATGCTATCTCGAAACTGTACGAAACTTTGGAGTCAATTGCCCCCGCTCCTGAACCCATTGTACCTACATCTAAGATAATAGCTGCTACCCGTTTGGTTATTTCGTCTCTTTTCCTTGATGGTATCAAGACATACCAAACCCAAGAACCCTCTGAGACACCTGTTGGTAGATTATACGTGAAAGAAAAAGATAGAAAGAAATTGTTAGCTTTATTTCACACCGCCAAAACGGCTGGTCACCCAGGGGTGACCAAAACATACAAGGGTCTCCTTCAACAGTTTTGGTGGCCCTCACTTAAGCAAGACGTAGTGGATTATGTGCAGGCTTGTCGTGTTTGCGCACAGTGTAAGTCCCCTAATGTTAAACCCCCGGGACTCCTAATGCCTCTATCCGTGCCCAAGAAACCATGGACCCACTTATCCATGGACTTTATTTATTAGACAGTAATTTTGACTGTGACCGATAGGTTCTCTAAAATGGCACACTTTATTCCACTTAAGAAACTACCTTCTGCGGTTCAGTTGGCTCAAGTATTTGCCAAAGAGGTGTTCCGCTTGCATGGTATACCACAGGATATCGTATCCGACAGGGGTCCTCAATTTGTCTCTCGGTTTTGGAGGGGCTTTTGTGTTGAGATGGGGATCTCCTTGTAATTTACGTCCTCCTATCATCCACAATCTAATGGAGCCGCCGAACAAGCAAATCAATCTATAGAGTTATATTTACGCTGCTTCACGAATGCGCACCAGGACAACTGGTCTCACCTCCTTCCCTGGGCTGAATTCGCCAGGAACACCGTGACTCAGCTGGCCCGTTTATCAGGTTTGGCTGCTAGAATTTTGCCTGCCGTTAAATTGAGCAGAAATTTGACAAACATAATTAAGGTCTTTGTGGTAACAGTTTGGGGAAGGACAATTTCTGTTCCAGCATGACTGTGTTGCAGTGCACAAAGCAGAGTTGAGTGTCTTGCACAGAGCTCTGACCTCAGTGCCATTGAACACCTTTGGGATGAATTGGACTCCTGATTATGAGACAGAGTTTTTCGTCCAACATCAGTGCTTGATCTTACAAATGCTCTTTTTGCTGAAATTACAGACAGACACAATCCAAAATTGTGTCGAACATCTTCCCGGAAGAGTGGTGGCTGTTGAAGCAACAAAAGAACTCCATATTAATAACCATTGTTTTGTAATGGGATGTCCAACAAACTTATATAGGTATGATGGTCAGGTGTCCATGTATTTTTGGCCATATAGTGTATCTTTACAAATAGCATTCGACAGACCAATCCACTGGTCTAACGACCATTCTTGAAACGTTGTACAGAGTAACTTCAAACAGTTAAGTCATTAGCAGTTAAATCAATATATATCTTTAAGCCAATGAATGCAACAAGGATCAGACATTTGTATTGAATTATGTGAATTAAAGGAACACTACAAAAACCATAACCACTACAGCTTGACAACTTATCTGGATCCCACCAGGTGCCCATCGGTGCATACCCTGCTTCCTGTTTTTTCTTGTGTCTTTTCTGAGAATCCACTGAGCTAAAAAGGACATATAGGCCCGCACTTATTGGTTGAGAGTGTTAGCTGAGTGTATTTTCATGCTGAGATCCAGGTAAATTGTCAAACCATGCTAAAATAGTTTAGAAAACTATACCAAGATATTGCTGGGGAACTCATGGCACAATAGCTACTACAGTGGGCTTGCTATAGATGACCCCATCTGGATAACAAATTACCTAAATATACTTATTTACTTATGGTGCTGCAGACCAGTCTCAGTCACTAAATACGCACATTTCTGTTTATGAAGACAGACACTCCATGTCAGTGACTGAAAAGTTGGCACTGCGGCTGTTGTGAACTAGGTTTTCCATGAGACTCAGTCTTGCTCATGATAAGCACTTAAAGAGTCACTATGACTCTGCCTGGATTATACTGATTGTACCGTCAAGATGTGTTTGCAGAACACTTCATATAAGAAGGTTAAGTATCTATTGATTAATATCATAAAGAAAGCTATGTGTAAGTGTTTAAGAGTATGCACGTGATTGTCTGTAGAGGGGGTGGATTTCAGAGAAAATGTGACTTAGGGTGCAGAATTTGCTGGAAAAAACAGTTGTGATGTGTTAGAAATTAAGTTGCTAAATGTTTCATTTATTTTCCAGTTAATTATTTTGCCTGTACACATAATGTTTTTTTCTGTCACCAGAAGCGTTTCTTTAATGACTAAGACCCCTGTGTTTAATTGTGAACAGGAAATGTACACTAAGACAGTGGTGTATCTACTGCTAGGGCCGGGGAGTTCCGCCATTGAGTCTATCAAGCTGTTGCTGGTAATGGGCCCTCCGGACGGAGATAGGCCCCCTCAGGAGTCCGGGGCCCTGAGCATTAGGGGGGGCGCAGTCCAGCTCTGAGAGTTTGACAAACTTGGCTGGTCCTGATTGGGTGATGGGCCTCTGTGCTGCAGTGCACAGAGGCTTCTGGTTGGTCGGGGAGAAAAGAGAAAGAAGGAGGCAGGGACCCTCTGGAGGGGGCCACAATGAGGTGAAGTGTGGACCAACACATGTAAAGGCTATAGTATTTGTGAGGGTGCAGTGTGGCAACCTGGAAGAGAGCGCTCCCTGGCAGGCAGCTGCCACTGCACCCAGGGCCAGATTAAGAGTCCCGTGGGCCTGGTGCTGACAATTATGATGGGGCCTAATTATAGAATCTTATCGACCAAAAACACTAAAACAGTCATACCTCTCAAGCGTCATGTATCTGATGGAGTTAGTATTGGAGGGAAACTCAAAGAATGCAGCTATTAGAAAACAGATACTCTATGCTAATCTCTTTATCTAATTTATGCTTTCATTTTTCAGGTAAATCCATACCCCCTAACAGCAGTGTCCAATGAAGTAGGAAGTCAATGGGCGGGGTAAAAGAGTGGGCCACTGATGCAAATCACGTGACCAGAAATGCCAAAAAGGGCGAACATGCCCAAATGTTTTTGGGCATGTCCCCTAGTCTCCCAGTGTCTGTGTCTCCATTTCTCCCAGTGTCCCCATGTCTCAGTGTGTCCCGTGTCACTAGGATACTAAGGAACACTGAGAGACATGGGGACACTAAGAGACCCGGGGACACTGAGACACTTGAGGACACTGGGAGACATGGGGGCACTGAGACACTTGGGGACATTGGGAGACATGGTGGCACTTGTGGATACAGACATGGGGACACTGGGAGACATATGGACACTGAGACATTTGGGGACACTGGGAGAAATGGGGTCACAGACACTAGGGAGACATGGGGACACTGGGAGACATGGGGACACAGACACTGGGAGACTAGGGGACACTGATAGACTAGGAGACACTGGTAGCGATGGGGACACTGAGACACAAGGGACACTGGCTGGGAGACATGGGGACACTGGGAGACATGGAGACACTGTGTCCCTAGTGTCTCCATGTCCCAATGTGTCTACCTATATCTCACAGTGTCCCCATGTGTCTCAGCGTCCCCATGTGTCAGTGTCCCCTAGTGTCTCAGGGTCCCCAAGTGTCTCAGTGTAGTCTGTCTCTGCAGGCTGGGAGCTGCTGTCTGGACTCTCTGTGCTGTGTAGCTGCTACCCTGCGGATCAGTGATAAGAGAGAGGCAGGGAGGGAGATGCTCTAACTTCCTATCCCTGCCTCTCTCGATACACAGTGACCCCTACTGGCAAGTGCTGGTATTGCAGAGTAATCTCCGTTTATACTAAGAAAAGTATTTGCATTTGTATTGCCGGTATTACCGCAATACCGGCACGGTCAGGCAGCCTCAAATACCGGCTGTGCCTTAAAATACCAGTCAGGTGGCAAACCTAAGAGTAGTGTGTAAAAAAAAAAAGAAGTAAAACTTTATTTTTTTTTTAAATGGACCTATTCCATGGGCCTGGGCCTTGAGCTGCAGCTCCATCAGCCCCTATATTAATCCGGCCCTGACTGCATCCTGCCCCCCCTCCCCTCAGTGTGTTTCAGCAGAGTAGGCAGGTAAGCAAGTACCTACTTTGCCTGAGGGAATATATGCCCGCACTGGGGTGCCCCAAGGTGATGAGTCGACTACCCCTGGGACTAGCAACCATCGGCCTGCTGCTTTTGCAGTGCCCCCCCAGATATTTGCACCTGAGACAGACACACCATCTGCCCCCCCTGTAGTTAAGCCACTATGTCTGTGTGTGTTAGTGTGTGCATGTGTATCTGTTTGTCAAGGTGTGTGTATGTGTCAGTGTTTATCAGTGTGTCAGTGCGTGCATCTGTGTTTTAAGATGTGTGTAAGTGTCAAAGGGTTTTTATGTGCCAGTGTTTATCTGTGTGTCAAGATGTATCTGTGTGTCAAGATGTGTGTATGTGTCAAGGGGTGGGTACATGTCAGTGTGGATATGAATGCGTATATATATGTCAGTATGTATATATCTGTGTAAATATGTATGTAGCTGTGCTTGTGCACACATCCCAGCAATCACACACCATCATCACATGCAAAAACACACTTGCAATCAAACACAAATATTACATACAAGCACACCCCTTGCATTTAAACTTCAAAATTTTATAACATGACAGGAGGCTTCGTATTTGCTTTAGTCTCTCTTTACTAGAACTCCACAGCAGCACAGAAAAACAACCAATCAGAAAAAAAGTTAGGTACTATAAAACCCCCTTCCCATTGCATCATTTCCTCTTTATTTGCTGCTCCGCAGTCAGTACAGGTCAGAGTACCACTGCCTCCTGCTTCTAGTGGGTGGCTTTGGTATTTAGTGTGATTTATTTATGATTGTTATTTATTATGCTTGGGACTACCTGATCGGGCAAGGTATACATAGTTTGACTGGATCCATCTTGTAATCTTCATGAGAAATACCCTCAGAGGTATTAGTGGGGGAGGTTTCCCACTTATGTACACACATTCCTGGAGACAGTACGGCTAAGGAGGAGCCTCAGTTTTTACAAGAGTACAGGTTTTGGTATAACCTGTGCTATATCAAACAGACATTGCACTCTGTTTCAGATATTCATTGTGTACAAACTGTGCAGACTATTCTCCCGTGTCAGGGTGACACGAGATCCTGAGACCTGCATAGGGCAAACGGGCACTGCCATGCTCGAGTAACAAGACTGGAAAATTCACATAAACGGTCTTCAGGTGCACCGAATGCATGGATCGCATGGAGAAACCGAAATTCTCAGGACTTGGCTTCCCTGGTCCTTACAATCTTGAGATAAAGTTGGCAGGACTGCTCCTACAACTCTGAACACATCTTGAGAACAGTGTTCGGACTCTATATCCATCACGGGAACCATCTTGGTTTAGGTTCTCACTAGCCTTCCTATTCAACTACCATCAAGGAAACCTACACTGGGAGATACATGCTTGGACAGTCTATGAGACAGGAACCTAGGGGTCTCACTATATTATTCCCTATCTTGTAGGTGTTGTGTAGGCCAGGAACCCCTACACGAATATTGACAGGTCGGGCATGGAACAGGATTGTACAAATGGTAATCAGAGTATCTCACACTCTCACTGCAACACGTAAGGGCTCTTCTGTGTGATACGGGTCCTAAACTCTATTGGATCCGGCCATCTTAGCACTCTTAGAGGATGATGTATTTGGATGGAAATCTCAACCCAGGTGTCCGGTCCCATCCTTTTGAGCTTTCCAGGATCCACAATTCCCAGAATAGTTGACCACCGTTTACCACACGAGTTCAGTTTGAGACCTTGATTGGACACCCTTTGGATGTCTTTTCTAGACCGCAGCCATGGATTACGCAGTCCAGTTGATAGACTGGAGTCTCTTAGGGTACGGCTAGTATTGTCCACACTATTATCTGCATATAACTTTAATTTCGGAGGAGACAATTCACCAGGTAGGTCATAAAGGAACGAATAGACACTATTTGGTTCTATTCGAGTATTGACGGTGGACTTAGGCGCAGGCCTGAGGTTGGAGTTTGTCTGCAAGGCCACATTGCCTGGTGAACCTGACACGATCGGAGGAATCACCTCCCACATCAAGAGTCGAGACACGGTGGAAGTCTCTTCTCGCGACCCCTCGGCACTTTACACCTACAGGAATATGGCTAATAGGTCAACTTGGCAGCCCATGGACCGACTGCTAGGGAACAGGTCGTAACCCCACGTACAATGGATCTATCAACGGAGGTCACTTCTCGCAGTTGGAAGGTCGATTTAGGATTGCTCTAATATTCTCGGAATGGGTACCAGTGAAACAAGCAGCGTTGGATTTGTTGGCTGAGCGTTAAAACAGCAAATACGAAGCCTCCTGTCATGTTATAAAATTGTAGATTATGCTAGCTTTAGTGTACCTATAATCTTAATTTTATTAATGACAGGAGGCGAGTATTTCCCACCCATTCTTATCCCTCCCTTGTTTAATTTTATAGTTTGGATTTATCAGGTACGTATACAACTCTGCTTGTTGTTTCTGCTACCTGTCACCTGTCCTTATGTCTGTTTTTCATAAGTAGAGTTGGAATATCTACATATTAAGATAATTTTGTTTGCTACATTGGGTATCTACAAGTTTTATTCAAAATACATTTCATTGGATAATCAACCTGTTCGATTCTGTTTTTCTCTCGTTTCAGTTTCCAGTCCTTCAGCACTATCTGGTGTGGCACTTCTTCGTGGATGGTGGACATTGACTTATTTTCAGTCCATCAACGCTATCCGGTTGACAGTTCTTCTCAGACATTGGACATTGCTGTATTCATCGTATCTGGACTTCGTTGCTTCCCATTATTTTTTCTGCCTTTGTTCTGTTTTGTCGCAGCTTGAAAGAGGAAATGATGCAATGGGAAGGGGGTTTTATAGTACCTAACTTTTTTCTGATTGGTTGTTTTTCTGTGCTGCTGTGGAGTTCTAGTAAAGAGAGACTAAAGCAAATACTCGCCTCCTGTCATTAATAAAATTAAGATTATAGGTACACTAAAGCTAGCATAATCTACAATCATACACAAACCAGACATCCCAACATGCAAAACTTATTTCAGGTAGGTGGCTGCACTCCCCAACCATGCGTGCCCCCAAATAACCCCTCCAATGCGGTCCCCGACTCACAGTCACACACAACATATTGTAACTACCTACACTATTAACCCCTTCAGGACGGAGTCAATAGTACACGTTCTGATCAAAACAAAATGTAAACAAAAACTGGTATTTACGCTATATGTCTGTTCAACCGTAATTCACCTCATTCATATTAAGTGCACCCACACTTATTATGCATCATTTTGTTCAGTAGAAACTGGGCTTTAATTTCTCATGAACTATTCATATTTGAAACATAATTTATTATGAATAAAATAAAAAAAACTGTGAGAAATTTAGATTTTAAAAAAAATTGTAGACATTTTAGTTGTAAATGTCATAATACTGTTAGCTTTAACTGCAAAAAAACACATATTTGGATTCAGCAAAGTCTCATGAGTACAACAGTAGCCCCCATTAACAGTTTATATGGTGTTTTGGAAAGTTAAAGGGTCAAATATAGCACATTCCATTTTTCTGTTTTTTCAAATTGAAATTTGCCAGATTAGTAATGTTACCTTTGAGACCATGTGGTAGCCCAGGAATGAGAACTACCCCCATAATGGCATACCATTTGCAAAAGTAGACAACCCAAGGTATTGCAAGTGGGGTATGTCCAGTCTTTTTTAGTAGCCACTTAGTCACAAACACTGACCAAAGTTAGCGTTCATATTTGTTTTTGTGTGGATAAAAGGCAAAACACTAATATTTGGCCAGTGTTTGTGACTAAGTGGCTACTAAAAATGACTGGACATACCCCATTTGCAATACCTTGGGTTGTCTACTTTTGCAAATGGTTTGCCATCATGGGGTAATTCTCATTCCTGGGCTACCATACGGTCTCAAATGCAATGTAACCAATCTGGCAAATTTCAATGTGAAAAAAATTAAATGCAAGCCTTATATTTGACTCTCTAACTTTCCAAAACACCATAAAACCTGTACATAGGGGGTACTGTTATACTTGGGAGAGTTTCAAAACAGTAAAACATATTACAACAATAATATCGTCAGTATAAGTGCTGTTCATGTGTGAAAAATGCAAAAAGTTTCACTTTTTTTTTTTATTCTTTATTTTTCACTTTTGGTGCAACATTTAGATTTTTACAGACCGTTAAAAAGTCGAGGTTCAGTACCGTTCATGGTTTACACCATTTTGGGTCGAGCCATAACAAATTCTTGAACAACAGTAACATGTTTAAACAAAACAGTACTCATTACATGCATCCTTGTGTTTGGGATGGGACTTTGTTGTATAGCAGTAGCTCCCGTCGAGTGTAGGTCTGATGGTGATGGTACTCTATGTGAGGGTTGAGTTAGTATTCGAGTCGTGTAGTGGCAGGGTTGCATCAGTTCCATGTGTCATGGTCAGATTCGCTATGTTGTGCTGAGTATAGGTGTCTGCATGCGTTAGTGGAGGTGAGCTGTTTGTCGTAGGTGGCGTGTTTTGGGTTTGTTACCCCTAACCAAGGGGGCTGCGGGGGGTGATTTGTCGGGCGCTCTGTGGTTGGATGTGTGATATGTTGGCTCTCATTGGCATAGAGATGGTGAGTGCATCAATGGCCTGTGGTGTTTGGGTATTTATAGCGGAGGCTAAATAGTAAAAAAGATAAAACGTAAGTAAAGTCACGGAGTGCAATCAAAATATGTGTGCACCAGTCACGGTGGCAAAGCCTGCGGTATCAGTCCACTTCAGTCATGGTACAGGGTGTTGTGATCTGCTGGGTCTCGGTTCCGACTGGGCGGTGTTCCCGGGGTCCTGTACTTCCATTTGAGGGCTTTTTTGTGGTGGAGGCATCGGGTTGGGTAGTTTCAAAGCGGTTAGGAGGGTAGGTGCTTCCTCCACGGAGGTTAGGACATGGGTAGTGCCTTCTTGGGTTACTTCTAGAGTCCCGTTAGTGCCCCACCTGTATGCAATTCCCGCTGCTCGGAGTTCTGTGGTGAGTGGTCCATATGATTTGTGCCACATGAGGGTGGCTTTTGATAGGTCCTGGAAGACCGTCAGGGAAGAGTTCTCAAACAGGAGTGGTGTCTTGCCTTTCAGCCTGGCCAGGATGACGTCTTTAGGTGGGGAGGGGTAGGCAGGCGGTATATCCCATCTATGATCATTTTTTTTACTGCTGTGTGTGGGAGTACTGTAGCTAGTAGGCGTCTGGTGTAATGCGGCAGCTCTTCGGCCGATATCTCTGCGGGGATGCCCTTGATTTTTATGTGTGAGTGGCGTTGTCGATCTTCCATGGTTGACATTTTGAGTGACAAGTATGTTTGTTGTTGCTGGATTTGTTTGATGGAGTCTTCCATCGTGTTTATGTGAGCATGTACCGTCACTACTTCTGCCTCTGTGGCGTTCACCTTTTCTGTGACCGTGCGCAGTTCTGTCCTGAGAAGGGCTGAGTCAGCTGCTCGGAGTTTATGGATGTCTGCTAAAAGGAGCTTTAAGTCACGTTTGGTGGTTGGTGCAGAGTCATCTGGGGACTCCAGCAGTGGCTGTAGTGGTGCTTGTAAGTGCCCTTGGGATTCAGGTCTTGTTTGTGGTGGGTTGTGTACCCTTTCAGGCTGTGTTGCCCATGGGGGTCACTGGGAGTCCGGGCCTTGTGGTGCCTGGGCGTGCAGCTGCTGTTTTTGGTGCTGCCCAGAAAGTTCTGCAGTCCCGTTTTGGGTGTCTGAGGGGGCCCAGGTGGTTCTTGCCGTTGTTGGGGTGTGGTAGGTGCCAGGGTAGCCTCCAGCATTTCTGCCGCGGAAGTGGGTTTGGGCTGGGCGGGCTTTTGTAGCATAGTCCCAATATCCCTGCCCCCAGCCGTACCTTGTGGCTTTTGTGATCGGCGTCCCATTGCTGGCATATGAGTCAGAGCTGTGGATAGGTCCGGGGCGCAGGAGGTATCGATGTGTTCCGCCGGGTATCCACTCAGCAGGTCCTCGAGGCCCGGGATCTTTGGGGTATAGTAGGCCCTGATTTTGCGTCTTCGTTTCTGCAGCCACTGCGGTTGTAAAAAAGGCATCGGGAGATGCGGCCTGTTGTGCTGATGCCGATAGTGTATGTGGCGATGTTGGATGGGTCAGAGAAAGACTGATATTTAGTGGATTTTGTCCGCAGGATTTGGGAGCTGAGGAAAATGGCATCCGTTCGTGTCGGGTAGCAAGCCCCGCCCCCCAGTTTCACGTTAACTACATATATCATCGTTGTAATACAAGTTACCATTTTGAAACACTAATATTTGTGTTCAGCGAAGTCTCCCGAGTAAAACAGTACCCCCCTTGTACAGGTTTTATGGTGTCTTGGAAAGTTACAGGGTTAAATATAGTGCATGCAAATTCAATTCTCTGCACTTTCTGCCTGGGTTGTCAGGCACGTCAATCAAATTTTAATTGATGAAATTACATAATTATGTTAAAAGATTACTTAAATATACACGTAGAATTTTAATATATATATATATATACATATATATGTATTTAAATTCTACGTGTATACTTATGTAGTTATTTATGTAATTATATATATTTATCTATATATAAATATTTGCAGTTATTTGTATTTTATATATAGATAGATATATATAGAATGTCATTCTAAGTGTATTTTGTTACCAATATATATATATTAATAACAAAATACAGTTAGAATGAGATTACATATGTATGTATAATTTATTAATTTTTTTTTAAATATTTTTTTATTTATTTTATTATTTTATTTATTATTGTAATTATACATATATATATAAACATAAAACATATATGTATTATATATATTATATATATATATATCTTGTATATATGTAACGTCATTCTTAGTGTATTTTAATACTAATGTATGTACTTATATTAACATTAACATTTGAGTGCAATCACATGGCCTCCGGGGGCCTGATTTGCCAGGGAAGGGCTGCCTGGGCAGTCAGGCAGTTCTTCCGAAGAGGATCGCGGCGGAGGTGAGTACCGCTGAGCTCCTGGAGCTAAAAGCCGTTACAGCGTTCTATGCCGCCGCAACGGCTATAAATTCCATTTAATGCGGGACGGAATAAAACGCTGTAACGGTGTTAAGGGGTTAACACAAGGGCACATGCACATGCCTTTACACACAGATACATGCACTGGTACATAGACACACAGATACCCATACTGGCACATATACACACAGATACACACACACTGGTGTGATGAGACACATGACTGGGCAGTTAACTTAAATGGGAACACGTTATTTAGGAAGGAAAGAAAAACAAGAAGGGTGGTGGGGTATGTTTGTATGTCAACCGTGAGTTAAAGTCAAATCTTAGGCATGTGAAGTGTGACGAGGAAAATGTGGAAGCTTTATGGGTAGATATCTGCTTGGGGCAAACAAAGGGAAATCAATTATTGGTTGCGATATGTTATAAACCACCTAATGTAAATATTAATAAGGAAGAACAGCTGTTAGAGCAAATTGGGAAAGCTGCACGTTAATTATTGGCGATTTTATTACTCAGACATAAATTGGGATAGAGGGACTAGTACTTCAGCAAGGGGAATCCAGTTTTTGAACGTGTTAAAAGACACCTTTATGTCACAACTGGTACAAGCACCAACTAGAAAGGATGCTTGTCTGGATCTCGTTATAACAAACAATGTTGATCTTTTGACCAACATTCAAGTAGGGGAACATTTGGGAAATAGTGATGACAATATGGTAATTTGTCTAATAAAAACTAAAGGAAAAAAGTTACCTGCGCGCTCTCCTTAATCCCTATGTATATTTAGACAAATGGAGGTCATTTAGTTACTCCAATGTTCATTGGAGGGAATGCCCGCCTGCCAACGTCAAGGCAGACCCC